GTGTCGTCTGACAATCATTCTATTCAATGTCACCTATTGCCTAACGCCATAATCACTTTACCCGCCGTGAATGTATAACCTTTACCCGCCATAAACGTATAACGCCGACGTTCAAAGAACGAATGAATGGATATTGCACATTAGCAATTTTCCAGCTATTCACGGCGACGTTCAAAAAAGGTCATTCATACGAATATTTCACCATTGTTATTAAGTGTGATCAACTGCGTTCCCCCAACCCTCCCTCCACAGACACCCTCGTGAGGATCCGGGTGGAGTCGGTCTTGACAAACCATGCTCAACGGAAGTGGATGGTCAGGCTAGGTAACTTGGCTGATTCGTGTCATCGTGTCCAAATTTCGTAGATAAATACTCATCATGTCAACCATTGGATTGGCTGTTTCAGTAAACCAACAGCAGCAACCAACAAGGATTGGTTCAAGCAATGGACACATGTGGGAATCGAACCCGGGTCAACGGCGTGGTGAGTGAACACCTCAACCTCTAGGCTGTCTGCCTGTGTGAACATCTGACGTGGTCTGTATGCGGTAATAATCTAAATACAACCAAGTCAGACACATTACAAGTGATTCACAATATGCCCCGATCAATAAAACACGACATCGACCGAGAACTAAGGTTTAAAAATAAACATAATGATTATTTTCCAATCCGATTACCTTTCTTCAGTGATCCCGTTATGCATTTAACATGAACTCCCTTTGTGAGTGTACCGGTTATATAATTGTTGTTGACAAAGCAACACAACGCGTTGTTAGGTGTCTGTATTGGAATACAATCACCCCATAGACTGGTCTGATGGTCACGTGCCACCAGGGCGATTGTCTCTCGATGACAGCATAGTGCACTCACTGCATGCTAGAGTGCACCAACCCCCTCCTCCCTGTATCTCCCGCAATGAAAACAGAATCGACTGCTCGAAAGACAATGCAACTCTTAAACTAGCGATAGCACCGTTTGTGAATGCAGATTCACGCAAATTGTGCTCACTGCTTTTCACGTTTAGAACTGCATAACGCAAAAGACACTTTTGAGTCAATTCATATAATTTTAAAATAAAAATATAGTAACTTTAAAGACTACTTATTTTATCATTACGACATCAGTATTAATCAAACACATCGTTCAGCTCAATAATGAAACCAGAGTTCCACACATCCTATTATCAGGAAACACCAGTCCGTTAATGCGCGTGGGTCCGCCTCCGTGGTCTAGTGGTAGAGCGTCCGCCCGGAGAGCGGAAGGTCCGGGGTTCGAGTCATACCAAAAGACGTTAAAAGATGGTACTTGTTGTTACCCTGTGTGGCGCTCGGCATTAAGGGGCTAAAACAAGGACTGGTCGCCTCGGAGTCAGTATACTGTGTCTGAGTGGGGAACTCATGTTAAACTGCGGCATGGTATATAAGGGAGCTAGCACTATAAATCGGCATCAGTCCGGACTAGTACAAGCAGCCACACAAACACACACACGTACATGAACGTCGCTATATAAGTGCAATAATCTTTGACGTGACGTTAAACCCCGTCACCTCACCTAATGCGCGTGGACAATTTATTTCGCTTTATGTGTACTTAACACCCAAAAGTTCTTGGTTATTTATCATATCAAATGCTTTGGAATTACTTGCTATTTATTTATTACAATTGAAATGTTTGTTAGTTGGATTGTTAAACTGAAGCGAGGATCTGGTGGATGAACTGATTTGTTTGTGGAACGTGTGTTCGTGTTGTTTTACGCCGCAATATTTCCGCTATTTATCCCTATGGGGTTCGACATCGAGTTGATTACTTGGCCGCGACCACAGCCATCGGGGTTAGTTGATACAGCGACACGGGAACAGCTGTTTGGAATAGGAACGTTACGTTTTGTGATTTGACAATTTTCGTTAAGTAATCGTGAAATATTGTTGAAAGTACATCCGTGAGTGAGTGAGTGAGTATGTATGGTTTTATGGCGCTTTTAGCAATATTCCAGCAATATCACGGCAGGGGACACCAGAAATGGGCTTCACACATTGTACCTGTGGGGAATCGAACCCGGGTCATCGGCGAGACAACGCTCGCACTCATGCACGCACGCACGCACAGACACTCACACATCCTCAAACAACGCATGCACGCAAGCACGCACGTTCGCACTGACACTCATACAGCCTGTCTCAAACAACGCATCAAAAGTTCTCTTTGAGTCTTTTATTAATAATTTTGTCTTTTTTTAGGTTCTGGTACTTAGTTCATGAAAAAGTCAAAAATGCTGATAAAACATGATCCCATAAATGTAACTATTACACTCTGTCAGATTCACTTCCGCGCCACGAAGATAAAGTTATCCAAAATTATATGAGCATTATATGAGCAACCTTAATGCATTAACAATCTAAATTATAACGTGAGAGTTTACAAGAGTTTGTTTTTTAACAAAGGAAGATATTATCATAGATGAATCTGATCATATCTACTTATCCTTAAATCACAATCAAATTTAAACAGGGGGCACGGGTGTCCCAGTCGTCTAAGGCGCCGCGATTCGCTGTGCAGAGTTGCGTCCCTTGGGCACGCCAGAAACCTATGATTGTGGGTTCGAATCCCGGTTCGCCCCGATTATGTTTTAGGTTTGTCAGCACCATACCCGTGCTCGTGGGTTTCACCGAAGTGGTAAACGTCTGAGACCTGCATCACTTCGGGCTTTCCTCCCACATTAAGCTGACACGCCGTGATATGACTGGAATACTGTTAAAAGCGGCGTTAAACTCAACTCAACTCAACTCAACTCAACTCAAATTTAAACATTTCTTCAGGACCTTCCTTGTGCCCATACATTGGCTCGTGTAGCGTGGAGGTGGCGGTAGACGGCCATGACACTAGTGTGACCCGGTAACTCTGCACTGAGACAGAACACGATCGCGGCAGTATGAACTAAATGAACCAGGGCTGAATAGGCGCGGGTGTAAGGCTTAAACTGATTAGAATATGTGGAATGCTGTTTAATGTACAACGCCCATTTTTACCGTGGGGAATTCAGTGGTATATTTTCAACAATAGAATTAATTACCAATTATTACCATACATACCTGCCTTTGGAAGTCGTTACTATGAACGTAATGCTGAAAGGTGGTTGACTAGAGGAAATAGCTACTTTGCTTAACTACCCCCGGGCTTAATCATAAAACGAAAGGCAGTATTTTTTACGAGTTGTTTAATCCGGCGAAAGAAGCACCTGGATATAGCTCGTAGGAAAACATGTATAAATACAATTTAAATTGCGGACGTAAAGGGAGGTCGGTCATGCAAAATTGATTTCACTGTGTTGTTTTGGGTGTAAGTGAGTGAGTATGGTTTTACGCCGCTTTTAGCATTATTCCAGCAATATCACGACAGGGGACACCAGAAATGGGCTTCACACAATGTACCCATGTCGGGAATCGAACCCGGTCCTTCGGCCTGACGAGCGAACGCTTTAACCACTAGGCTACTCGACCGCCCCCGGGACGTGAGTGATCGGGCCAGTTTCACAAAGCAGCCTTCTCGCAACTATCGTGACTTTAAGTTAGGTAACCATAGTCGTAGCTACGATCGCTTTGTGAAACGGGCCACATTTTCTGCGATCACGTCCGAAACAGTGCGTCATCAAATCTTAATTTTTTTTACTGCGTGAAATCAAGATAGAAACTACGTAATTCTTCGATTCTGTGTCTTTGCAAATAATGGCGGAAACTAAGATTCCGACTGAAAGCCAGTGTAATCGAACTGGAGATCGGGTATGCTGGTTATGGTATGTCGTCCTACCCCGACTCAGGAAGATGGCTGCTCATGATATCAAGCATTGGTTTGTCTGGTCGTAACAGGTCTAACGCGTATTTACAGGCCGCCGACCCGTGAAGATCCGGGTTAGAATAGGTCTTCAGCAACCCATGCTTGCCGTAAAAGGAGACTATGCTTGTCGTAAGAGGCGACTAACGGGATCGGGTGATCAGGCTCGCTGACTTGGTTGATTAATGTCATCGATCCCAATTGTGTGGATCGATGCTCATGATATCAATCACTGGATTGTCTGGTCCAGACTCGATTATTTACAGAACGCCGTCATATAGCTGGAATACTGCTAAGTGCGGCGTAAAACGACAAACCAAATATACAGGCCTCCATCACTTATACACATACCACGTACATGTCGGTTACACTTAGGACTATACATCCATGTGTTTAATGATCAGCTACATACAGTGGAACCTCGCTATTCCGGAATCCCCTCCTACAGGCACAGGTACGTCCAACTCCCATACACACTTTTGATGATGATGACAAGTGCATCAATTCCCCAAACCTTGTCATTATTCCCGCGCGTCTTCAAACAATCACTTGTGAAAATGTGAAGATTTTAACGAAGCTTCAATGACTTCATTGACCCAAGCTGTACTTTTTAAGGTGCGGTGAGGTGAAATGGGGTTTAACGTCTCGTTCAAAGATCGTTGGACTTATATAGAGATGCGCCCGCCCTAGTCCGAAATAATGCCGGTTTTATAAGACTTTCCCACTGAGATACCATGCCGCAGTTTAACATGGATACCCCACTCACACACAGTATACCGACCGCGGCCCGATAAGTTCTTGTTTTAGCCCCTTTAATGACGAACGCCAGGCAGGGTAACAACAAGTCCCATCTTTTAACGGTTTTTAGTATGACGAGGCTTGGATCGAACCACTGACCCTCCGTTCTCCGGACAGACGCCCTGTCCACAAGACCACGGAGGCGGTCTCCGGGAAGACGCTCTATTCACAAGACCACGGAGGCGATGGGGAGAATGAAGGATATTATCGATTTTCAGCTGTATCTGAGTATATCCCGGGTTCGATTCCCACATATGTACATATGTACACCATGTATGAATAAATACTTATAACCTTATACTGATGACTTTAAACGTGTCAAAGGGACGCGTTTGTCATAATAAACGTTCACTCAACATACAACAACACAATTTCTTTGTAGACCATTTATTTGTAAATAAGTCATGTAAAATGACAAAATATTACTTGTGAAATATTTTGATTCTTTACAACACCTAGTCGTCACAACCACATGCAATCAGATAGCGCTACAACACCTCTCAGACACAGCCCCTGTCGGGTCTCACCTTTCAAACAATACCCCTTTCGGGTATCACATCAAACATCAAACATTCACCATAGAAGTCAGATACAAGGTCGAACAAAAGAGAGCTTGATGACGTAGTGACTAATCACGGCTACAATTCAGAGAAATATTTTCGGAAGTCACCGAACTGTGAAAATCTGATATGAACCTCGGTTCATAATAATTTCAAATGATCTAACAAGTTGCTTTTAAGGTTGAGACCAATGACACCAAATCTCTGGCACAAGAAGGCCTGAAGGGTTAACGTATTGTGCTGTGGGCGTCGTGACTCTTTCAATTACGGAGTGAGGCAGGAATTATGTTACTGTATCAATTGTGTTTTTTCATCCTCTTTTCCTGCAAACAACCACCGAGCAATATAAGGAATGCTGTTGTAACCTTTAACAAAGGGAGCAAACTCGTCTAGGTAGACCCCAAAGGACCCAGTATCGCTGAGCCGTGATTATTCAGGGATAGGTTAAGCGTCACCACTATTTTGCCTTTTACACTCAATGGAATCTGTTTCGACAGACAATGAAGACTGATTGTTCTCTGGCGTTGACGTTTTCTGTTATAGGATAGCAGCCGAATAGTGCATTTACACTTGTATACATTTTTGTATTACGATAAGTTTAATGCTTCAACCAAAATATAACCTGGTGTCAAGTCAACTTGAAGACGATGTTATTTCAGAGTTGTGAACAACCAACTAGTGATATGTGACAACCAACTAGTGAGATGTGACAACGAACTAGTGAGATGTGACAACCAACTAGTGAAATGTGACAACCAACTAGTGAGATGTGACAACCAACTAGTGAGACGTAACAACCAACTAGTGAGATGTGACAACGAACTAGTGAGACGTGACAACCAACTAGTGAGACGTGACAACCAACTAGTGAGACGTGACAACCAACTAGTGAGACGTGACAACCAACTAGTGAGGTGTGACAACCAACTAGTGAGACGTGACAACCAACTAGTGAGATGTGACAACCAACTAGTGAGACGTGACAACCAACTAGTGAGATGGGACAACCAACTAGTGAGATGGGACCAACCACGTGTGTTTACATTAACGTCTTAACAGTGTGTTCTCCATTAAATTCTTCCAGCGTCATGTTCGAAATCTATTCATGGTAAATATACCACGCGAAAGTTAATAAATAACCATAAAACTGAAAGAAAATAAACCGTTAAGATTATTCATTGGATGATGGTAAAATCATACTTTAAAAAAGACATGGGATTCATTTAATGTCCCTCTTCGTTAAACCTTACAAAGGAGCACGTGCGTTAGAATGTTGCCAGGACAAGTTTCTGTTGTCATGACAACATATCAAATATAAACAGCCTCAAGAAACAATGCGTTGCTTTGAGACAATAACATCGAATATCTTCACATATCTAACGTACCCTTGAAATGATCAACAACAATGAAATAAACACATCAACAATAATACAATAAATGTTTCGTTCACCCGAATCGCAGTTGGGCCAATCCACGGATTTGCAAGTATAACATAAATTATCATAAATTAAACCTAATGCAAACAGAGTTTTAAGTACTTTGTGTGGAACATAAGAATGACAGGTGCCATTTTATCATATCGGTCCAGTTCTATCACTTCACCTCACTAGAGAGGTCAACCGGAAGTAATTCCAGGTCAAGGTCAGTGTTTATACGCTCAAAGCGACGTCAGAACAGTCAGACAGAGGATTTGTTCACAAATGAGTCAGAATTATGTCGGTTGTTCTTGGAATTCTCATCACAGAAATACACCGATTTTCAAGAAATCATCCACATTCTGAAGCGGGTCCTTGGTTGTTCGATAATATTGTTCATAAATACAACGATCACAATATGGTTCGACAACCCCTCACGTCTCCCTCACCGACACATACACGTCTGATGATAACCGACCTTTACCTCTAGGTCAATTTACACACTTGTCTGATGGATTCTGACCTTCATGGTAGGTCGTGAATATATAAGGCTGATGATCGTTGACCTTCACCTGACTGTCAGGTCACACAGATACACTTATGATGATTTTCCACCTTCAGCTTACTGTCAGGTAACTCACATACACTTTTGATGGTCTTTGACCTTCACCTTACTGTCTAGGCACACATACACTTCTGATGGTCTTTGACCTCCACCTTGCTGTCAGGTCACACATAAACTCATGATGGTCCTTGACCTTCACCTTGCTGTCAGGTCATACATACACTTTTGATGGTCTTTGACCTTCACCTTGCTGTCAGGTCACACATAAACTCATGATGGTCCTTGACCTTCACCTTGCTGTCAGGTCACACATACACTCATGATGGTCCTTGACCTTCATCTCAATGTTAAGTGACGTACTGTTTGTAACATATCTTCAAATCAATTGCAGCACTCAGTTCATTCATATGCACCCATGCTTCACAAGTGTCTTTTGTCACTTATTAAATATCAGTTTTGATGACAGATGTCATAATGAATATATTTCATCCAAGGAATCATATTTCCATGAACGAAACAGCACCTTGATGCAACATCGTGGGCTTCACAACAGCCATTGCACCTGGGGAGTTGTGTCTGCCGTAGCCAGGCGAATTGGTTTTGCCGTAGCGGTCGAACACAGAACTGTTTTTGGCCACCTTCCTGAGCTGGTCGGTGTATGCCTCATTGCGTTCTCCCGGCGCGTGGTGTGGCGTGTGGGCAGGTTTGGGAGGGGGCTCAGACGCCGGGGTGTGGTAGGTGGAGTATTGAGACACAGGAGTTGAGTGGTAGTGTGCGTTGTTGTGGCTGTGGTAGGGGGTGACTGAAGCCTGGGCGGGAGAAGGGTGATCGCTGTACCTTCCCCCCCGGTCAGGGCGACTGGGGGTCGGGGCCTGGGGGTCCTCATACAGACCTAGATTCTTCCTCCGCGAGACAGGAGTTGACATGGAAACTGGCTTGCCTTGAAGCTCCGTGGACCGACCCATGGTTGCCTGCCAGGCGTTCTCCTGCAACTGACGAGACAAACCTCCCTCGTCGCCAGGCTTCTTCTCAAACCTTTCGATTAGCGATGTGATGGACGGTGCATGGGCCGGGCCTCTTTGGTCACGTGGGTCAAGACGTTTGTCTGATGAAGGATGAGTAGGTTGGGGCGGGTCAACTTGCTGGTGAGCGTGGTCATGATGTTGCCTCTCGGGGAGGTTTCCAGCACTGACACTCCTCCTTGAGTCCTTGTGAGATCGGCTGGGTCGGGGAGGATCCGGGGTCATCTGTTTCTGCATGTTCTGGGTGGTGCCGTATCCCGGGGACACGTACATCTCACTCTTCCTCTGTAGGATGTGGCGGTAGTCGTCAGATGTCGTCGACTCCTGGTGATGGTGAGACAGGACAACCGGCTCAGCTTGACCTCGGACCCCCGGGCCGTCAAATCGTGGGTCAAGTTTCGTCTGATTCTCGTAATTAGGAATCAGCTTGGCCTTATACACGGGCACAGCCGTAGCTTTCACCCACTTGGAATCGACGTTGCTCAAATGTCCCACAGACGCATCAGTGGCGTCCGGAGGACCCGGAGGACCCGGAGGAGCGAGATCGTCGTGAGCCCGGGTATACGCATCGGAAATACTGATGTTGCTCCCTAGAGCGATGGGTGCTCTGTCCCTGGTTCTGTAGGAGGAGCCGCTCTGGGGGGACACCTTGGCAGTGTTCTTGTTATTGTTCTCGTCACTAGCACCGGGGTGGTCAGAGAAGGCGGACACGGGTTGCACGTGCCTCTGCCCTGACCCATGTCTGTCTCGGGCTGCACGTGCGACCTCATACTTGGACGGAGACTGGTCCCTGCTGCGAATACTGCTGAGAGTTGATGGTACCGACTGGTTTCCGGAGTGTGTGGAAGTCCTCGACACTGGGGACTCGTAGTTGAGGTTCTGATAGTCTCTGGACAGCTTGTCCTGGAAAACCTGTATAGGATCGGGAGGCGCCTGGCCGGAGTGACCTCCATGAACTCCATGACCTCTTAGTTCTTTGTCCCTCTTCTCCGCCTCGTGTCTCTTCTTCTCCTCATCCCTCCGCGACCTCCTCCCATCCCTGTGCTTCCTCTCCGTGGATTCCTGATCCGACTGGGCCCACCTGTCGCGTGACACTTCCCGCTCCCTCCTACCACCCTCGCTCTCGGGGGATTTCTTAGCACTATTACTGTTAGAAAATTTCTGCACGACGGTATTACGGAGCTTGCCAAAAGGATTACCTGAAGTGGTTGGTTTAGGCTGTTGAGCTGGAGTAGTGTTCTGAACCGAACTTTGTATCTGTTCGTCATCACTGCGCTGATCTCTTTTCAACCACGATTTGAGAGAAAACGGCCCATTTTTCTTAGGTTCCTGGGCGTGTGTACTAGGCGTAGCGGCAGTACTGGGAACACTTCTAACATTGTTCATCCTAGCCTTATTCAGAGATTCATAAGCCTGTTCCTGATTCTCATAATTAGCAACATAACGAGGCTGGTTCTCATAGTTAGCAGTTCGTTCTGCAGGAACAGGCTTGACAACCTGCTCCACTGTTTCAGGGCTGGTCTTGTTGATGGCAAGCGGCTTGTGGACGTTAGGGGGGGTGGAGGTCATGGGCTTGGGGGAAGGGGAGTGACTCCTCTGCTGCTGGGACGTGTACCTGGCCACCTCCTTATTGTCCTCACCCTCGCGTGGCAGAGGGGGGCGCTCGGGCTTCATCTCCTGGGTGTACTTCCCCACGGACTCGATCCAGTTGTTGATGTGCTTCAGATGCTGGGCTCGGTTAGCCTTCATGTCCTTGTCATCGTTCAGCACAGAGAGATGCTTCAGCATCTTGGACTTGACGCTGCTGAATCCCTGGCCTGAGGATGACGACTGCAACAAACAATGGGAAATAATGAGTAAGTGAATGTTGTTAAACGCCCAAGGAAGCATTTTTAATCCATAAATGTCGGCCTGTAATTATGTCTGGACAAGGCAAACCAGTGTTAGCATTGATCCACGCTGTCGGGGAATGATGACGAAAACAGGAACATTATAAAAGTCTTTTTTTTTAAAACATCACCGTTGTTTCCCCGTTAGTCTGGAATCCTAGATGAATCCTATGAATTATGTTTATGCCGTGTATCAGGTGGTAACTAGTTATAGGTACCATGGTTTCCATGTCAGTCCACTAAGCAGAAATGTGACACTCACCAGCTGACTCTTGGACCTAAACTCCAGTTCAAACTTGTTCCTGGCCAGGTTCCGATGCGCCAGCTTCCAGTAGTATTTGCAATCATGCAGGAACGTAGCCCAGATCTGGAAGAACTCGTGCGGCGTGCACTGAAACACCAACAGCATGTTGTAGCCAAAATATCCATCGTCAATTTGTCATTCAGTAGTTCTAAAGAGCAGGATATGGTATATCTTTTACAGCGTCGAAACACCAGGTGTGAATCATCTCTTACCTTCCGGTTGTCATGGAGGAAGTAGGAGGTTGTCTTCAGGAACCTGTTCCTGCTGTCCTCCAGCACTCGCTCCTGCTCGAACACCACCTCCAGGGCTGAAACAAGGGAGGGAACCAGTGAAGATTGGGGAACTCCAAGATAGAACTCGGCACAAACTGACCTTCTGACCTGAGTCTTTCCCTATTCATCGACAAAATGTTACATGTTTCATCCTATGGAGTATTTTTTTTTCAAATAGTCCAGAGACCGCCTCCGTGGTCTCGTGGTAGAGCGTCCGCCCGGAGAGCGGAAAGTCCGGGGTTTGATCCCGGCCGCGTCATACCAAAAGACGGTAAAAGATGGTACTTGTTGTTACCCTGTCTGGCTCTCTGCATTAAGGGGCTAATACAAGGACAGTTGACTCGGAGTCAGTATACTGTTTTTGAGTGGGGAATTCATGTTAAACTGCGGCATGGTATCTCAGTGAGCTAGCGCTATAAATCGGCATCAGTCCGGACTAGTACAAGCGGCCACATAAACACACACACACGTAGATGCACGTCGCTATATAAGTGCAATAATCATGGACGCGACGTTAAACCCCATTTCACCTCACCTCAAATAGTCCAGTAGTTTAAAGCACATGTTTAAGAACCATGTCATCACATACTTGACTTTACATACTGTATAACACAATACCTACCACAGGTGGCGAAGTTGTCGCTGTTGACTCGAAGCGTCTGAGTGAGGTTACTGCTCTCTCTCTTCGACAACGACTCGATCTGAGAAGAAAGGAAGATGTTATCAACGTCGTATGCATGGTGTATAAACTTGTCCTTAAAGGAAGATGTTAGGGGGCCAGTAGTATTAGATTCTGCAGTTTGAGTTGTGTCCCTTGATCGCGCTACAAACGTCGCCCTGATCGGGTTCCTAGGTCTGGCAGCACCAGACAGTTTACGTGCACCAGCCTACTTACCCTCTCTCTGATGGCGTTCACCTCCCCTCTCAGGTCGCCCAGCACCCGGTGTATATCATCAAACGACACCTGCAACACCAGCATTAACATACAACATCTTATACGGTGGCAGTTGAGACCGTGAAATATATTCTATGTTATGGTCTCTGATGACAGTTGAGATTTGTACAGTAAACTACGGTTATAACGAAATCAATGGGACTGCTATTTTTAGTTCGTTATAACCGTAATTCGTTATAAGCATATATACAGTCAGCATAACTACAGCATATAGTCGGGACTAAAAAGTTAGTTCGTTATATCCGTTAGTTCGTTATAACCGTGTTCGTTATAACCGTAGTTTACTGTACTATGAAATGATGTCAATGACTAGACACCTATCGAGGTGAACGATTTACAAATTGTGGATGACATTCTCCTTTGGGGATAAACCAAGTGATGTACAATGACGGATATCTGCTGTGAATAGGGTGGGATCATAGGAGCTGCAGTATCGGTAGGCTGTTCAGATAGACTAGATACGTGAGACGTGAGCTGAGAGAAAAGGGCGACTGTTCATAGAGAAAGGTAATATGACGGAGGTAAACCTTTAACTATCGTTACAGTTATTTTGCTGAATCTGGTTGCCATGGTTACCTGTGCAGCGTGCCTCATGTTGGAGGGTTCGGGTAACCGGAACCTAGTCGGACATCCGAGGTCAAGGTCGTTCTCATACTGCTGTACGTAGGTCTTCATGACGAACTCCAGCAAGTTGCCACGCCGCGTCTGAACATTCCACACACAATCAGAACATGCATACTTTACACACAGCGATAATTATTAGAAATCTGGCAAAAATGTAATGTGTTTATTAGAGCAATACCTTATTCAAAAGTATTTACTGCCAAACTTCCCACTATCATTAGCACTTCGCATAACTCCCAATCCTACGGCAATATGGCCATGTTCCCCGAAGGTGGTTTGGGGCGTTGGGGTAGCCAAGTTGTTCAAGTGTTCGCTCGTCGGTTCGAAAACCAGGGTTCGATTCCCAACATAAGTACAATGTTTAAAGCCCAATCTGGTATCCCCCGCCTTAATATTGCTGGAATATTGCTAAATCGGCGTAAAACTGAAACTCACTGAAACGGGTGACACACTACTGCCACAAGGGGCCAACCATTAAAAGAATACATTGTTGGCTGCAATAAGCTCTTACAAACTATGTGGCGAAAATAACTATGTTCATCCTTCCTTTTACAGAAACAATTGCATGTTTTAAAGCAGTGACTGACAAAATATTCTGTCTCTAACAAAACTCCCAGGCTCTAAGTAGAAATTTATGAAATGGTCCCTTGTTTGAGATGACTGTGTACGACAAGGTGGGCACTGGGTCCCTGTGGTTCTACCCTATCAGTGGAGTCCTTCAACTTGGTGAGGATGTCCAGCGTGAAGCCGTCCGCCTGACCCCTCTCCGCGCTGCCGCCGTTCAGGTAGTTGCCGATTGCCAGCAGCGTCTCCAGGAGGTTCTTCAGGGCAACGCTGTAAGGGGGAGAAAACGATACGTTGTTTGTAACAAAGAGTATACAAATATGTTCAGAAAAATAACAGCTATACGGACGTAATTTACCTGTGATTCGTCATAAACATCGTTTGCTGTTAAAGTCCATTAAATCAAGAATATCTGTTTTTACATTTTTACAAATTATTTTACTTATCATTAGTGATGAAAATTAAAAGTAACGGTGATAGTTACCTGCTTGTAATCTCTTCACATGCAGTGTTGAGTTCTCGCAGCTGTTGATCTGAAACAGGAAGTAGCCCATATTACAACCTGCCTCATTTCGCTCTTCAGAAAACGTGGAAAGACAAGCACGACTGCCCCATTCGTCACCACTCGCATGTTTCCGTAACCTACAACAAGTCTACATTCGGCTTGTCCCGGAATGGGGCGAGTTGGTCAGGGCAGCCAGTGGGCAAGTGCAGCGGTGCACCACTTGTCCGATATAGATCGATATGTTTTAACATTCAGTCAACTTATGATAAAACAACAACCAGGGGACCTTTTAAACCAAGGACCAGGGCAATTCATTTTGCAGAGTTGCGTCCCTTGGACGTGACAGGAAACTATGATGGCGAGTTCAACTCCTATATCGGAACTATGCTCCTGATCGCGGGTTTCAACGAAGTGTAAGACCTTGAACCCTTTCCCCAAAGCGATATTAGCGCTATGACTGTCGCAATCCCGAGTCAAGTATGACACAAACACGCACGCACGCACGCACGCATGTCACTACAAAAGGGCAATAATGTTGAAGGGGGCGTTAAATTCCATTTCACCTCTCCTCACTCATTCATTTCAACACCAGGGCTCGGCTGGTGACATGGTTTCCATGTTATCGGGCATATTGCAACGAGGTAAGTCAGCACATACCAATCTCGAATAAGTTGACCTGAAGTCTGTGTTTGAATCTCAGGAAGTCGATCCGCTCACGGAAGTGGTCCACCTTGGACAGCTCAAACACCAGGTACTCCGGACAATCAAGGTTACCTACAAACACATACAGGAATCAGCGAATGCATAGATGCGACAAATGCTTGTTGTAGCTCCTTTTTCCCATGCATGTTAATTGACACAAATGGTATCAACCAATCCAATCGTGCAGCAATTCGTTCTCTACATCAATCGGTAAGTCAAGGTACGTGACCACCCACTTATCCTAATTGGGGCGGTCGGGTAGCCTAGTGGTTAAAGCGTTCGCTTGTCACGCCGAAGACCCGGGTTCGATTCCCGACATGGGTACAAAGTGTGAAGCCCATTTCTGGTGTCCCCCACCGTCATATAGCTGGAATATTGCTGAGTGCGGCGTTAAACAACAAACAAACAAACAAACTTATCCTAATTATGTTATTACAATAATACCTTTGACCTTAAACCTGAGAGCACTACCTGTGACATTGCATAGGATAGATGTATTTAGGGGAACATCCTTGTAACTTACTCGCTCCCTTGCGCTTGATGTGGTGGAGGATCTTGTCCAACTCGCGAGGCGCGTGAATCAACTCAAGCAGATCAGCCATCCTGCGGAGAGAAACAAGATGAAGCTCTCATAAAATCCCGCTAACGAATACGTTTATTCATTATAACGTACAAAGCATTATTTGTCAATGGAAACATTTCTTTACAATAATTGAAATATATTTTTTTCAATATAACCTTTCCTCTTATGTACTTGTTTTAGTTAGATCTAGACTTGCCTTGGCTTTAGTAAAAAAATATTAAATAAATATACATTCCACAGTCATTGTGCAGGATTATACTGGTCTGTTAAAGGCTGTTTTGTAGATTTATTTTAGGATAAACTTAAGAATGGATTTACCCGTCTTTGTGAAGCGATGACATGTCAAGGGCTGACATCGACTGTATGACGTCATTGAGTGTGTGACGTAGTTTTTTCATCTCTAACGTCACGCGCTGGGATTTATCACTATCGAATATACCCACAGGCTGAAACACAAATGAACAATTTAATATATTTTTAATAAATGCAGACGTATGCCTTTTAAAAAAACATCACTGGGGTCAAGGCTGTGGAGTCCAACATTAATACAGACCTAAATTACTTAAAACGTCGAACATTTGTGCACCTGGCATTCAACCCTCATCAATTTGCTAACCTATACAACGCACCTGCTGTTTTGGGCGACCTCTCCGGAAGTAAATATCGTCGTACAGTGTGACGTCATCAGATGCCGAAGGATCGCCGGTCTTGGAAAATAATCTGATAACACATAAAAAGCAGTATTACTAAGCAATTTCATTATATTACTATCTGCTGAAGTCGATCTAATGAAAATCAGATCTTAGACTATCATTCTGCCTTTCACGAGCAAAAAATGATTTTAATGTTTGTTTGTTTGTTGTTTAACGCCGCATTCAGCAATGTTCCAATGTTTTATGACGGCGGTCTGTAATTAATCGAGTCTGGACCAGACAATCCAGTGACTGACATCATGAGCATCGATCCACACAATTGGGATACGATGACATGCATCAACCAAGTCAGCAAGCATGACCACCCGATCCTTTAGTCGCCTTTTAAGACAAGCATAGTAGCGTTGATTGTGCTGAAGATTTTCACAAATATAACGCACAGGGGCTAAATATTTTTGATTATATGCTAAGATGTCAATGCTAACTGTATACAAGCGGGGATTTTTTTCTGATAAAGTCTTTTCACAGTTCCCATTTGACGTCACAACTACTGAGTGTGACGTCATCATCTTATGTGACGGCACTGTTGTTTATGTCAGCAATACGTCAAATATCTTCAGAGCAACGTGTGTTCTGTGTGAGTTTGTATTTACATGTACAATTAAAACCTCGCTGACCAGGAATGTTCGTTATACCTCTCAATGTCCTCTGTATCCAGTTTGGGTTCCAGCATGCTGTGCCACACAGTGCCTGACTCGGATCCTGCAGACAAACAGCGTGTTGACAATTACAGATAAATATAATACTGATGATCAGAAGTGGCAATAAGGTTTCAGCAGCATGTGTTTTGCCTTCACAGAGTAACCTGCTCATGCCGATTGTAGAGGCATTATACGACTGACTGAATCATCTCATAATTGACTGCTCAGATTAAAACACGAATTCCTCTAAAAAACGGTAAAGGATACTAAACTGACAGTAAAGGAAAAAATATACACTTGAAAATTGGATTTGATTGCAAACGTTATCAAAATTTACTGAGCCAAAACATACAAACTTAAGGTAAAAAATCCAACTATGATACCCGTATCCATTACAACACTATTAAATATTTATATATTTAGCCATCAACAAACACGGGTGTATACTATGTTTTGCCCAGCAGGCTATAAGACAGCTGGTAGGTGTACATGGACTAGACTACCATTATGTCTCTTAAAAACAATTCATTATTTATGATTATTTTATATATTATATATTAGAAAGAAGCCCGAGAAAAATAAGAAATCTAGACTTGCCAAAGTACTATGGATCGACTCGGGAGTATTCGTATATTTTTGTTTCAGAATCTTTTGAGAGGCAAAGATTGGACCAAAGGCGTCATAACGGTTCTAACAGATATGTACGTGTTAGTGTGGAGTGGGGGATGGGGGGTGGGGGACAGGGGAGAGAGAGACTGGGTACTCACCAACATCTGTCAGTATGATGCGGTGCCAGTGCAGTGGCTTCATCTTGACTTGAGGATGGATGATGGGTTTGTTGGGGTACACTTTGTTTCCCCGACTCGGCCTGGGGGGCAGGGGAGGAGGGATCTCCCCATCCTGCAGCAACGCCACGGCCTGTTTCCTCTCCTCCTCCAACTTCGTCCCTGCAACATCGGCAACAACACGTGGTACAGAAACAAACGTCAAAACACGAAAAACAACTCAACATGGATCATCCAAGCAGCCACGACCCTAAACAACAGGTGCAGGACGAACAGACAGACAACATTTGACTCATTAACTCAATCAAAACATGACAATATTAATACATACACGGCTACAATAACCTACCAAAAACGAGTCTGTGTCACAGAACTCTCGGAAAATCTCGTCGTGACGACATACTAATACAAACTACCCCATAAACAAATCCAAAAAGAAATGCGCAGTGTTGTCAAATCTCTGTCACTTCAACCTGTTGATTACTAACAATGTCGGCCACATCGTCTGCACCATGCACGACTGCCGTCCAGATGTTGCAAAGGGTCAAACAAGGACGCCAGCTGCTCTCCTCACTCTTTCATAATATGCACAGCATGTACCAACATACACACACATCATTCACGTACACTGTCCCGGGACAAAATGCTACGTATCGTCTTTTTCATGATTTCCCATTACCATTCATATTGATTCTAAAGAACACGTGTCAATGTATGTATTAATGTACTAATGTACAAATATCCACTATAAAACAGAACACGTGTCAATGTATGTATTAATGTATTAATGTATTAATGTACAAATATCCACTATAAAACAGAACACGTGTCAATGTATGTATTAATGTACTGATGTACAAATACCCACGATACAACAGAACGCGTGCGATAAAATAGATTGATTGGCAATTTTGAAACATATATCGATCTCATTAACATAACTAAATAGCTTTACGCATGAAGACAACCACACATTAATCAGGACGTCTATATTAGGTTATAATGTATACTACTCAAAACAAAGAACAGCCACAATTGGAGGTTGTGTGACATGACAGACAAGCTATAGTCATAGGAAAAAATCGAGTTTTCTTTAACTTCTCTTGAGTAGCAACACCCTACATTTATATGATATTCAAATATTCATACCTATACTGAATGAGAGATACGTCCATGAAAAACTACATACCATGTGTTGAGTTCATCGTATTATTAGAACTGATGCAAGTCAGCATACTGACCTTAGGCCTTGAGGCAATTCCTTAAAATATTTTCCCTTCGCAATGTCTTTAGTGTTTCAGTTTAGACAGCATGACGTCACCGCCACAATCACCTCTACCATACGCTAGTTCTTGCTACCTTCGCCACACGCGAGGCTACCAGTAAGGAAATGACACAAAAAACGTCCGTCATTAACAGCGTATACGTTAACGACAAGACAAAGCGATTAGCCTGCCACCTCCCCCTCGCATCTTCCCCTGGGCCAGGTATCTGGGTGAGGGCCCGACCCTGTCAGGGGTTGGGAGCGTGATGAATGGGAGAAGATAGGCGATCCAGCATCTCTGATAAACACCGCTTACCCAATGTAACATTACCGGCCCACTGGGCGTGGTGAACACATCGCCGTACCTTCAAACCACCGCAGGAGATGACTGTTCGGCTGACCCTAAATTACGTTAGAATACATTTAACTGCACTTTTTACAGGTTGATGTATGCCCTTTGACATTCTCAACCTAGGACGGTACAGATGTAAAATTCGGGTCGACCTCTGCGTGTCTCTTTGGGCATCTGGACGACTCTGTCTGGGCAATTAATGTTGTGTCAGAACCTTTGACGTTACTCGGCTGAACATATCCTTCCTACTCTGGACGCTTTTCAGGGCTCTTGTCATGTGCCACCAGACGAAGCTATCACCGGTCGCTGAGTAGTTTTAGTCCCCGTGGAACTTTCAATACGATTGGATGCTTCGGTTGTTGAAATTTATTTCAAGAAACCGATTCTGCTAGGAATCGAAGTTCCAGCAAGTTATAGGGAACAGTATCAGTTGATTGTCAGTTTCTAAAGCAATTGGAGCTGCTTGGAGCTACTCGTGTGCTGTGAATATCACAACAGTAGGGATAAGGACATCATCCAGCATGCAATGCATTTCCAGATGTCAAGCTCTGCGAAAATTACTAGAACAGACTCTCTCCTTGCCTAATTTACAAACTTTCAGATGTGGAGTAGCTTCTATGAACAGCAGGCATTGAAACACAACGAGGGCTTTCTCTCCCTGCCTGTGTCAAAATTGTCCCAGAGCAGTCCAACAGTGAGCTAGCTACCAACTGACCGATTTATGCATTACATGGCTGATCTAACTAGAGCATCAGAGTATCAGAGATCCCCATCTCCCAAGGGTCACGAACACGTCTACTCCAAATAATTTAAACCGAGATAGAGTTACGTTGTGTTACGTACGAATCGTGTTTAAGTACTAACTCCCATCAATTACGCGCCCGCTACCACTTGTGCATTAAACGAAATCAGTGATATGAGTTTGTCGATCACCAAACACTGAATGTCTCAGTTGAGGCGACAAGCCACACTTCAAAGGGCTTCCCATACATACAACACAAGAAACAACCCGCTGTCAAACAATCCAAGCCCAGTATTAAGCTTGCGAATCACAAAGGTGGTCTTATAGTCTCCATTGAGAGACACTGGCGTAATCTCAGCGTTATGATAATGGCGGTATATTACACGGGGGCTGGTAAAAGTAACACCCGCATGCTACCTGGCCATGCACGTAGACTGGCGTTGCCTGCCCGGATCAGATGGAGCTATTTCCTGTGGGGGTCTCAGTTTCATGAAGACATTAGGGTTGGATTTCGCTGGACAGTAATGGGTGTATTAAAAGACGATGGAAGATATGGTAATAGGCACTTGAGCTTATGGATATGCTGCCCCCAGTTTGGAGGGGCATGAAGTTTGAATTGGAAATTCAATATTGTTTCAGGCGTACAAAATGCAATCTATATGAGCGATATGCAAATAAACTAATCTCGTAATAATATGACATTACTTTTCATTGTATTTCGACCATTAGTGAGATGTATCGCCTGCAGACTATACGCCGACAGAGTGTCGTACGGGCAATAGGACCCAGTTATGGGTTATGGGTATATATTATATAAGGTAACTGCATATCAGTGGCCATTCTACTCGACTTAGAACTATGTGACTGACACCGTATCTTCCACTGTAGTTGTCTGAAATGTCATGATGGCCTTCAACGATGGGAGGTAACTCCGTTGGGGTTCCGATATGTTCGTTGCGCCGAATGGGATTTACGTACCCCGTTTCTTGTCGTGAGAGCGGACTGAAGTCTGGATTTGGTGGCTACAATGTGTGACCTGGCTAAATGTGTTCAACTAAATGTATTGTTGTTCACGCTATCAACCACTGGTTTGGCGTGTTTATTTACAACCCGTCGTGGAATAGCTGTGATGCTCATGGCGATGACGCAGAACTCACTTAAACTTCTAATTGAATTCGACCGTGGAAATCCGGGTAGAATAGGTCTTCAGCAACCCATGCTTTCCGTAAGAGGCATCTATGCTTGTCGTAGGAAGCGACTGATGGGTTGTCATGCTCGCTGACTTGGTTGATGCATGTCATCGTATCCCCATTGCATGGATCGATGTTCATATTATCAATCACTGGATTGTCTGGTCAAGACTCGATTATTTATAGACCGCCATCATACAGCTGGAATATTGCTGAGTGCGGCGTTAAACAACATGCAAAACAAAAACAAAAAATCTAATTGAATTTCCATAAAATACCAGACGTCTTTTTCATATCCGGATGACAATCATAGCAAATAATGACGCCATCACACACCATGCCATTGAACGATAGGTTAATCACGCAATGATCCTTGTTCACCAAGGAAGACCATGGGACGTTGAGCAGAATGGCCTTTGCAGAGAGGATCTCACACGGCAATACAGTTAATATAGATGTTCGAGAGGGGATGGCCACGTACATCAAACCTACCAATGTTGTTGAGCAGACTGGCGGGATGGATCCCAGAGGCTTAAAGCCCTCCACATAGATAACACTTACCGGCGTCAGATGTTGACTGGCTCGACTCAGTAGGATAATACGTAGATATTGGACTTGGCGTTAGGGTTTGACTGGCTTGATCTGGGTCCACTTGCACAAAGCGACTTTAGCGCTACGACGATCGTAACTCCCATACTTTAACATAGGCTTACAATAGTCTTAGCGCTAAAATCGCTTTGTGCAAGTGGGCCCTGGAGGTCCTTACGGGATTAGAACTTCAATATAGATAACACCTACCACTGATAGATGCAGAACAGTCCTGAATCGGCCTGGGCCCACTTGTACAAAGCGATCTTAGCGCTAAGATGATCGTAACGCCCATACTTTAACATAGGCTTACTATAGTCCTAGCGCTAAGATCGCTTTGTACAAGTGGGCCCTGGTCAGTCCATTAGGGTGAGACAGTCAATACAAATCCTAGACTTACCGATGATGTTGAGCAGACTGGCCTTGGCTGGGAGGATTCCATAGGGAGATGACTTGGTGCTGGAGTTCTCCAGCATCTCTGCAATGGACCGCAACTCGTGCATCTTGGCCATCAGCTTGTTGATTCTCTCCTCGTACGTCCGCAGGATGTGCTGATGCTCCTTCTTCATCCTCTTCATCTCCTCGATAAGCTGCTTCTCATTGTCCGAGTACGAGTAGCTGGGCTCCACCCAGCGTCTCTGAGACTCGCCACTCTCCACAGTGCCACCCGAGGATGTGTGGCTATTTATAGTCCCGGGGATTCCCGGGGTCATCTCATAGTCTATTGCCGCCATTTCGTTTTTTTCTAGAACTCGTTCTTCCGGAATGGCGGAGTGCTCCCTTGTCGACGCCATTGGGTGGACGTACTTGAAAGCGTTCCTGTCTCGCAGTCTGAAGTACGTCTGGGTATCCACCGAACTATCAGTGGAACACGTGCTCTCCCGCTTCACCCCGGTATCCCAGGTACTGGGAGGGTACCGCTGAATCTCGTGTTTCTTTCCGTGACTAGCTTCTGGGAAGTCTCGTTCCAGCTCCCTTATAAAGTTATTGAAAGACGACACGATATTGTAATCATCAACCCGGTTCAGCACTTTGTTTTTAACGTCTTCCACAAGTTTATAGTCCAACCTATCTCGTGGTTCTTTCTGAACGACGCTGTATCCTGGCGTGTGATTGGCCGGATAGGATGACGTCATTATAGTAGCATGCTGCCGCTTGATGACCTCATCATCTTGCCACATGAACAATTGAGGAGAATCCTCGAAAGTCCTCGCGCCAAAGATGCTTCTGATGAGTCCGTCTTTGAACAGGCGTTTGGAGAACTTGACGGCCACGGCCCTTGTCCTGAAGCGTCTGGGGTACTGTTCCAGAAGGGTGGACACTAGCACACACCCCTTAAACACGTTCCTGTCCCTGCCCACACGGGGCCGACCCCAGTCCATCTGAAACAAATAACAAAATCAGCAATAGGTAGACGATGGAAATTAAATCTTACCACTCAACGAACAGAATGACCTGAAAAAGAACAATGACGTGGTGTATTTCACCTTTTTAACATCACTTTTGAATATGTCTCAATTTCAAATAATATATTCACAGAGCGGCTCCATACAGCGAAGACAATGTTCGTACCTCGAGAACAGAACGCTAATTTTACCGGAAGCACCATGACATCACCGCGTCCCAATATTCCTGTATGTCAGACAATGGCTTCTGCTCAACTTGACGATAGGCCTTAACATAAAAGTGCCTCTGTGAGCAATACCCATCGCCAAACTACCCCCTCTGGACATACTCAGAAGGGTGGATATGCACGTCTATTCTCGCTCACCGACAGGCCTCGTGAGTGGATGTATGTCACTGTACTGCAGGAATCAGCGCACTTGCTCCTATCTACAGTCTGTAAGACGGTCGAATCAATAAAGGTCGTGTAGTAGTATAGGATTTCTTTAATTGCCTTAGATCGGTCGATTTACAGAAAATTACTTCGTTAGTCTCATGGTAGGTCAAGCCAGGCAAATTTTGATTGGAGGGTGGGGTTTATAAGATCGGGTTAAAGGACTAGTCTTACAAAGATAAAAACGAAAACAACCTCAATATGTTTTTTCTAACCCTTGACGACACTGTCTGGTTGCATTAGATGTGTCTGGATGGGGTAAAGATATTTCCTTTAGTACTATAACACTGTAGAGCGAGTATACTGATCATGAGTGAATATAATGGCACACAACTGCTACCTTTAACAGACTGTGTAGAGTCGGAAATAAATATTTAGGTATGTCATCGACGTCTGTATGGAGCATGCAGGTTTGGTAGCTAGGGATGAAGATTATGTTAGCGGGTATTGTTTTATGCGCCGTTCATTATTATTTCAGCCGCGGGTTAACCAAACAGCGGATTTTGAGAAACATATGGTTATATCACGGTTCATGCAAGTCCCAACCAGGCATCAGAAAGGTCCCAGTCGCGTCCCAAAACGGTATTAGTCGGATCGAAATGAGACAGCCAGGTCTAGGTTATAGAGATGTCGGTTTCAGTCCACATCAATGAAGATTGCTACTAAAAGCTGAACATACAGTTTCAGCAAAATGGGTCAATGGGAATTAAACCCTGATCTTAATTGAGGCGAGCGAACACACTAACCACTACGCTATCAAACGTACCAGAGGTATACATTTCGTTGTACAAGACTGTCATACTGGTTTGTTTGTTTGTTTGTTGTTTAACGCCGCACTCAGCAATATTCCAGCTATATGACGGCGGTCTGTAAAATGGACCAGAAAATCCAGTGATTGACATCATGAGCATCGATCCACGCAATTGGGATCGATGACACGTATCAACAAAGTCAGCGAGCCTGACCACCCGATCCCGTTAGTCGCCTTTTACGACAAGCATAGTGGCCTTTTACGGCAAGCATGGGTTGCTGAAGACCTATTCTACCCCGGAGTCTTCACGGGTCCTATCATACTGGTATTAATATCTTCTCGATTTTCATGCCCGTGGTCTATCGTCATTATGTTAATGGCGGTTGCGGTGCACGTCTGTCAGTATTGCCACTACCTTGATCAGACGCCAAACGTATAATCTCCGCCATTGTGTTCTGGTTATTAACTATGATCAATGACTCGTTCCCTGCAGTGTAGGATAATGGAAAGCAAACAGTCTCATATACAGTTCCCTGGGTGCCGCACAGCATCTGACTCCCCGGAGATAACTAAATGCACCGTGCAACGCACATCAACCATACCCTTCCCCACAGCACCTGGGTCGGAGTCATTACGTGAAATCTGATCTAACTCTCGATCATCCAGTTACAACGAGCGGATTAGCGGGGTGATTGACGCTGAAGCGACACCTAGCGGTCGAGTGCTAAACTCGCGACTCCGTGACAGTCGATCAGACAATGACAGGTGCCTCGCTTTGAGGAATTAGACACGGCTGCCTGTATGTAGATCGCTGCCAACATGTTTTTCTTCAGTTAATCTAGTGTTTGTTTTCACTCCATGGGTTGGCATGTTACGTAACATTACGAAACACGTCATTGTTGGGTTAACGTTGTTTGTATGTAGCCCTTGAACACATTCAAAGATTTGGTACATTCTCAAAAAGCTAAAAACTGGTGAAGATCCCGGGTAGAATTAGTCTTCAGCAACCCATGCTTGACGTAAAAAGCGATTATCTTTGTCGTTAGGGGCTACTGACGGGATCGGGAGGTCTGGCTCGCTCACTTTGTTGATGCTCGTCAACGTATCCCAATTTCGTGGATCGATGCTCATGATGTCAATCACTGGATTGTCTGGTCAAGACTCGATTATTTACAGACCGCCGCCATATAGCTGGAATATTGCTGAGTGCGGCGTTAAACAACAAACACAAAATACTGAAAAGCTTCCCACTGAAACGATCCATAGTTATATGATCTCTCCTCTAATATTAAGCTGGCATACCGTGATATAACTGAAATGCAGTTTAAAGCGGTGTCAAACTCTCCTGACTCACTCGTGTTCCATTGCATCAACTAACATATACAAGAGCGTGTATACTATATATATTATCACTGCTGATAAAAACGTGTGTCAACAGGATATCAAATTCGAATTTATTTCTTCTCTTTTTAAATATAATCACGTTTTCTTATTTTTTTTAAGACGCTCGACGTGTAATTTTTCATAGTTCAAGCCCGCTATATATATTTCATGCCGTTGACATAGAAATAGTAAATAAATCGAGAAAAACGCAAACATATCATTATACAATCTGGTGAGATGGATCTTATATCATTCATGTTGAAAATGCAATGCGCCTTAAGTAAGTTGAAATGACCTGAACCAAACACACCGCCCCAAGATCACGACCGGGTCGTGTTTGTTTGTGATGGCACACACGAGACGTGGATGACATTCCGCCAGAACAAAGGTATTTCTAACAAGGAAAGATAAAATGTTTATTCACACGGTTCTAGTGAGATGGGGAATGCACAACGCGATAGCTAAGGAAACATACCGCATAAGGGACCACGACACCGCCACTGATGGAGCAAACTAAGCGGGAAATTGATATGACACGATTACGAAATGCCCATTCATACTTGTAAGTTTTCAAGAAGTTCAACAAGTAAAATGTCACTGTTTCATTACCTGCTACATCGAGACCACGCGTCGGGGTACAGTAACATCGTCTAGGAAATCTTGTATTACACAATGTATTTTTCTAGAAAAAAATTATTTTCCCGATGTTGATTTCATAGAGCTGGCAAAACGTACTTTTGTATACATTTCTAGATTGGTTTTGATTTCCTCAAATACATATATTCCAGTTATGGTTCAGAACTAGGAGGAGAGTTATAAGGTCAGGAAGTGAAATTTCAAACTTAGAATGTTTGGAATTTATACAAGTTCTTGGTTTGTGTGGCGCTGACTTGATTACTTAAAGGCAATAGCTGTAATAGCGTCAGTTACAACGCATATTCGCCCTGACTGTTTCTACGTTTGTAAGCATCAACCAGCTCATGGGTTTCCACTAAACCTGTCGTAAAAGTCGACTAACGGGATCGGGTGGTAAGGCTCGCAGACTTGGTTGATGCATGTCATCGTATCCCAATTGCATGGATCGATCCTCACGATATCAATCACTGGATTGTCTGGTCTACAGTCGATTATTTACAAACCGCAGTCATATCGTTGAGATATTGCTGAGTGCGGCGTTTAACAACAAAGACTCATTAGACTGTTGCGAGTACCTGTTCATCACGCAACTATTTATACCATATTCATATATCATTCGATGTGACGTTACCATTATACAGTAATCATTTATCAGAATGTTGCTATGGGTAAGGATGGGTTCGGGAGTCGACCACCCAAAGGCCTAGCCCGTCAATGACAACTACTGACATAAATCCCTCAGGACATAAACTACCGTGCTAATTGGTGTTATGTGCACGCATCGCCACGGGGCCTAGAACATGATGTAGATATCAGTTATGCCACTTTTGATGTTCTCAAGACGGCCTCCGCCATCTTTCATCTTCTGGCCCCTTCAATTATAGCATTAAGATCTTGAAAACACAGACAGAGCCATAACACGTTGTCGCTCAAATCTCTGATGGTTCTAAATGACGTCGGAAGACATTGATGTGCAGACGTTAACATGGCTGTATTCATCTTTCATGGGCCGTGTCGGGTGGCAATTATAGCGTGTTAGCGTCATATCTAACCTACATTGTCCCACCAAGTTGCCCTCAGGTTGAGTCACAACCTACATTTTCTGTATCCATGGACCATCAATAAGCTTTGCTGTAAAATTACTTTACTCGTCGAAGTATTGTGTGCGTGCGCATAACATGACTGCGGATGAATGCTGCAGCTCCACTCGCGCTGATAGGGAAACAACGGGGTAATATCTGCCAGGTTCAAACCAATCACGTGATATCTTAACACGATGGCAGACGACAATTATTTCAGCGCAGACGACACGTAGGTGAGAGATAATGTGTGCGGTAAATCTGAGGAGAAGAAGACTACAGGATTAGAGGAAGTGGACGTGGCAAGTCTAAGAAGCAGACGACATATAGATGCGAAGGAATGTATGCGATACGTCCGAGAAGGGGTTTGGGATAAGGGTGATAAGATAAGAGTGGGACGCCAGTATGAGATCCATGTATCTCTTGTCAAGCCGGGGTAACCAGCCTCCGGGGTTATGCCAAGATGCGAAAGATAATATGTGACACCATTTCATTCCCCAAGAGATGATGTCCGTTACCATGAATGTCAGAAGAGGGTTGACACTATATAAGATAGCGCTGGTAATACCAAACATCAGTAGACACCCTGTAACATCCGACAGGGTTAAAATAGACCCCTTAACATCAGACACAGCTGAAGTAGGCACCCTGTAACATCAGACACAGCTGAAGTAGACCCCTGTAACATCAGACACA